ATAATATATATATATATATATATATATATATATATATATATATATATATATATATACTATATAAAAATATTAATCAGTTGTTGAATATAACATTGGTAACAATTTGTGATACACGATATTGCATTTGTAATTGCAGCAACATAAAATTATATATGTATGTATACGTTACAATATTTGTTATCGGTGTATAGCTACGATCTTACGATTATAATGATCTCTAGTTTGCAAAATTTTGCGATTTAATTTCCATATGTAATGTGCACGTTAAGTTACGTGCAATAGCCAAATGTATACGCAAACCGTGAGTTTGTGTCTCGGTGAGAGCCGAGACCTATTTCGCGTGGTCGATTGCTGACGTCATAACTGCACTATATACGTAAGAACATACACTCGCTTATAGCGCGGATGAAACGAATGAATGGACGAACATATGTACCTTCAAATGGATGTTTTCATTTTCAAAGTTTTACAAAATATTTCATACTTTGAGATATAACATTGTTGAACAGTTATTTCGCTAGAGGGATCATGCGATCTGTTTGTAACATACAGCAAGATTCAATAATTCAATACCATATGAAAATAACAAATATAGAAATATATCAACTTGCAAAACTTTGGAATGTTAAATGAAGTGATACAGATAAGATAAATGCCAACAAAGACGTAAGTACTCCTTTTCTAATGCCTCTATCATAGTGAAACAACGTGGTATGTAACTAATGCACGTGTGGCAGTAACTCTGCCTTATCAGATTTAAACACCTGTGCGTAATGGTACCTGCTGCAGGCAATATTCGATTATCTATCTGCAAACTCCATGTATCAAGCGCAATTAATCATAAGCGCCAAATATAAAGCACGTGACGAATTGACGTCATGGGAATCTCCTAATGCCGAAACAAACAGTTGCAATCTCTCGCTGCCGCCGTTTTGGCAGGAGTTTAGGACAGAGACGCCGACTACCTCCTCTTACTACTCCTCTTACCACTATTGCTGTCTTCTACGCAACGGTCCATTTTCAAGCGCGCATATTTATAGAACGCATACTTTACTTACAATTATCCTCGGCTGCAGTGCGGCAATTGTCAAGCCTGCATAATGGAAATATTTACCGGATACGGGTATAAAATCTGAACTTCCGGGTTTACGAAATCACTGTGCGTAAAGATATCGGCGCCTCTATTATGCAAGCAAACGTGAAGCGAGCGCAAAACAACAAAGTCACCAAGTGGAAAGAGACGAGCGTTAACGTGAAGCTCGAATTGGTGCAATCATGAGATGTAACGATGAGTAAAATACAAACTCAATGTTACTTGCATAAGTGCGCACTGCTAGTTTAATGTGTGATTTCTCACATTGTGTTGAGTCGAAAATTTGTATTCGCACAAATAAAAGAATTTTCTGCAAACTGGAAAGAGCTCTCTCTCTCTCTCTCTCTCTCTCTATATATATATAAACAACATAAATTCCTATTAAATACATATTAAAATAGACAATATAAATTCCTTCCCAATTCCATATATCTATGTATATAAAAGATCTATATATATAGTTATATAGATATATGGAATTGGAAAGGAATTTACGTTGCTTCACTATGAAACTACAATATAATACAATGCACATCTCGAGTACACCATTACATCTTCTAAGGTTGCAGTAAATGTTTTCAAATTTAAATTGATCACTTTTGTATATTTATATATCATTCCGTTTTGATCCAAATGTTTGATACTGCAACGAATAGTATATAAACTTTATCAGCGAGCTAATATTCGTTACGCAAGGATGATTCGCAACTTGCCAAATCCAATCTCCATAATTCTACAATTATATTATGGAAATATAACTCTCGCTGGAAAATGGATTACGTGATTGAGAGTCTGTTCGCATCCGCTACTCTGCTCGCGAAATTTCGCACGCTACTAAATGCGAACGTTAATTAAATAATCCGGTTATCCATACTGAGCATTCTGTACGTTGTTGCGACAACAGATTTTCCGTGTTGAATGAGCCTCGTAAAATTTAGCGTCGTCAGCATCGGCGCGGATATCATGAAATTCCGGAGACGTGTCAGTCGTACCTAAAATGTCGCGATGTCGCGGAAAGGAGAAGCCATGAAAGAAACAGAGACCCAACCAACGAAATTTTTGTGATCAACCTCAATCCATTTCGCCCACCGAGCGCTTTCTAACTCATATCAATCTCCATTACTATCTAACTTGGCACAGTTGGGATGCTGAGACGCAAGTTACTTTCCACTTCAGACGCGCGTTTTAGGTTTCGCGAACAATGCAGCCGCTATCCTTGAGCCGCATTTGCGCGTCATTTACGATGCAGATGCTCCGAATCTTTCGAATTTTTCCCTAGCTAGAATACCATAATCCCACATTTTTAAGCATTGGCCATATTCCAGAAATTCTCGAGCAAGAGGAAACTGAACTAAACAACTTTGTCAGGCATTTCTCGATAAGAAAAAAACTATCGAATATAGACAAATATAAACCAGAATTAACAATATAAATGTTTTATTATTTATATTAAATAATATGTATTGCTAATTCTTTTGAATGTGATACCTTTCAGCGTTTAAAATACAAAATGATCTAAAAAAAAAGAAAAAACAAAGAAAGAAATGTATATAAAAATCTGTAAACATCTGTAAACATCTATAATGATAATAACAATATTAATCGTAATACTAACAGTTGGGATCTCTTTTCGCACGTGATTAAAGTCACGAATTCCTTATCAGTGATAAACGAATTAATAAAGACTTAACGAAAAGTTAAGAACTACGTAATTAATTAGTTTGTGTATACATACACATAAATGTACAAACAAAGTGTTATACAAGATAACATCAACTGTTTAAACAAAATCTGATATATGTCTGTAGACACTTGTATATATTTGTCTCATTCATAAATCTATAAAAGGTAAGTAATTACGTACTCGTTCAATCTTTATTGATTTACCACATTGTTGCAGTCTATCACTGATAAGGAATTATCATATAAAATTACGTGTTGCTCAAACGTTGATACGAATTGATTGACATTTTTTTTCGCTGTTTATCTATTTCATAGCTATATTAATATTATTAAATAAAATTTTATTTTCCTAGCATATAAATTGGAAAATAAATTTAAAAATAAAAAACACAATTTTTAAATAATTTATATTTCTATTTTAAAAAATTTATATATGCATTTGATCATAACGAATATGCATTTGATGCATAACGAATAAAAAAATTATTTAAATAATCTTTAAATAATTCATAATAGAAAGTAAAGTTTATTTGAAGATATGTTGGCCGATTTATTAGCCCAAAAAATAAAGTTCCATGATTCACTTTATAAACGATCTCGAGACAAAAAAACTGCATAAGCAGTCACAGAGCGTGAGAATTCACTATTGACAGTCGTAACTAACTGTTTTAATCCCGCAGTGTATTTATAGGTTT